ACCCAGCAATTGCACTACTGGGTATTTACCCCAAAGATACAAATGTAGTGATCCGAAGGGGCACCTGCACCCCAATGTTTATAGCGGCAATGTCCATAATAGCCAAACTATGGAAAGAGCTTGGATGTCAATCAACAGATGAATGGATAAAGATGTGGTATATATACACAATGGAATATTATGCCGCCACCAAAAAAATGAAATCTTGCCATCTGCAACAATGTGGATAGAACTAGAGGATATTATGCTAAGCGAAATAAGTCAGAGAAAGACAAGTATCATATGATCTCACTGATATGAGGAATCTGAGAAACAAGACAGAGGATCATAGGGGAAGGGAGGGGAAAAATTAAACAAGATGAAACCAGAGAGGGAGACAAACCATGAGAGACTCTTAATCTCAGGAAACAAACTGAGGGTTGCTGGAGTGGAGTGGGGTGGCTGGGTGACGGACATTGGGGAGGGTATGTACTATGGTGAGCGCTGTGAATTGTGTAAGACTGATGAATCACGAACCTGTACCCCTGAAACAAATAATACATTATGTTAATTAAAAAAAAATTAAAAAAAAAATCAGAGCACCAATAAAGTAAAAAAAAAAAAAAAAAATAGTAGGAAGGTGTAATGTCTCCAAAGCCTGAATGTTATTCTAAGGAACTGGGAATTTTATCATGTGGGGTGAGGAGCCACTGAGGTGATTTACACACGGACAAGACATTACTTCACTAGCATTTAGATGAACTACCCATGTGGAAGATGTGCTTGAGTAGGGTGAAGAAAGAAGTGGTCAGGTTGGTAAAGAAGCTATTCCAACAGTTCAGTGTGAAACCATGAGATAGTCGTAGGAGGAATAAAGTAGAGGAATACATTTAAAATACATTAGGTTTAGGGGTGCCTGGGTGGCTCAGCTGTTGGGTGTCTGCTTTCGGCTCAGGTCATGATCCCGGGGTTCTGGGATCGAGCCCTGCATCAGGCTCCCTGTTCGCTGGGAAGCCTGCTTCTCCCTCTCCCACTCCCCCTGCTTGTGTTCCCTCTTTCGCTGTGTCTCTCCCTGTTACATAAATTAAAAAATCAATCAATCATCAATCAAATAAATAAAATAAAATACGTTTGACCATATAAAATTGCTGTTATCTTTGACAAATGGGAAAAGTAGCAAGACATGATTACACACCAGATGTGTCAGGAGTTGAGACAGTGAGAACAAGAGAAGCCAGGGATGTGCAGTAGCACTTTTGTGGCTTGGGTGTCTGGCTGGGACTGGGGACATAACATCTAATATGGAAAGATGAGGGAAATTCGTTTGGGAAGAACTGTAAATGGGACTATAAATGTTAACTTTTACTTTGCATCAGTTGAGCTGGAGATGCCTTGTAGATACCTACACAGAGATGTTGAGTCAACTATGTCCAACATGGCAGTCACTAGCCATGTGTAACTATTTAAAACTTAAATTAAAAATTCAGTTCCTCAGTCACACTAGCCATATTTCAAGTGCTCAACAAGCATATGCGGGTAGTGGCCATCATTTGGGACAATGCAGATACAGATGGTTTACATCATCATAAAAAGTGCTATTGTTGGGGCACCTGGGTGGCTCAGTTGGCTAAGTGTCCAACTCTTGATTTCGGCTCAGGTCATGATCTTGGAGTCATGAGATCAAGCCCCGTGTAAGGCCACACACTCAGCTGGGAGTCTCTCCCTCTCATTCTACCCCTCTCCCTGCTCGCATGCTCTCTCTCTCTCAAAAAATACATAAGATAAAATAAAATAAATAAAAATTTTAAAAAAGTGCTATTGGTCACAGTGGGCCGCAGAGCCGCATTTATGGGAACTAGGAAAAACACTGTTCTTGAAACGAGAGTGGGGATGAAATGAGTCAAGGAGACCAGCTAGAAAAATAGTTAGAAGGACTGGAAACCTGTGATGAGACATGTCAAAGGGCAAAAGAAAGATGACTCCATGAAAAGAACAGGCCGTCAGAGACACTAACACAGGATACCTTCCAGAAGGACTGAGTAGGCGCAGAGCAGGCACTGCAGACAGGTCTGCGAGGTAAGGATGAGGCAAGGACCCACTGGATTTGACTGTAGTTAGATCACTGGTGGGTGCAGGTCACAGGTATATGAGTAGAGACACCAAGGCCTCATGCAGTAGATTGAGATGTGAATGGAAGTGCAGTAGCATTTGCTAGAGAACAGAACTTTAAGCTTTCTGCTGAACAACTTGTTCAAGACAGGTACTTGAGAGAAATATTTACATAGAGCTATTTTCAGGACATGAATGTACCAGCTATTCATGCTGACCTCCAGTTAGTCTAAGTATTATCTCTGGATCTAGCAGAATGGTCAGAAAAAGGTCTGCTCCTTCTGTTTTATTTAGATGGACAAATGTATTAACAAAAGCCCTGCTTTGGCAATGTGCCCCTTACTCCCACTGAGGAAAAAGTGGAAACAACATTCTACAATTATTTCCGGGTTGTTATTGGAAAGATCTGCACTATCACCTACCTGAAGACCAACAAAGACATTTTCCCTGACTTCAGTGACTTTAGATTCCAGAGGAAGGTTTGATTTAAGATTCTCATCAATGCAAATCTTGAAACAAATATTGTCTGACTCTCTGCCATGGCTATCAGAAAGGTCAGGAAGAAAACTGCTACCTGCACTTCGGAAAATGTGTAACTTCATAGGACCGCATCTAACCACATGCCAGCTGTGCTGTACTACTCATCTGCTTTTCTCTACCTTCCTTCAATGGTTCTGATCCATTTCCATTTCCACTTTTCTATGTTCATTAACTACCTATAAAATCCATTATAAAAAAAGTTGTATATAAATAACTCACCTGAGATGTGTTCATTTTCTGCTGTTGTTGGGAGAGTACAGAGAACTGTGACGGATAAGCTGGGGATAAGGAAAGAGGAGTGGAATTACAAGAGGTCTGGTGAGCTTCCACCAGTTGCCTAAAAATCTCACCACATCAGCTGGGGGAAAGGCCTCCCTATGGAAAAATGTTCTGTTGACCCTTGAGAAGGGGCAGGAAGCACCACATAGAGACAGCACTCCCGATATATGTAATACATCTCTGATATGATCACGTGGATGTAACCCTGCTATTTTTCACCAGTGACTTAAATTATTTCCTATTAATTTTAAAAATGTGTGTCCCCCTCTGACTAATTAACAAAAAATTAAAACAAAGGATAATATTAATATCCTATTATTTCCACTTTGAGTTAGAAAATCAACAGAAAACTCTGGGGGGAAAAAAAGATGCTTAGTGCCAAAATATTTTAAAATCATTTTGCTCTTTTGGTAAGACTTTTGATTAGACACTTCTAGTGACTTATGTGTGACAGAATGAACTGCACTGTGCTTTGCTCCTCGGTCTGTCCTGGGTGACCAGGGGATATATTTCTCAGGCTCCATTTTTTTTTAAAGTTTCAAAAGAGTCAGAGATAGAAATCCCCTCCAATACTGTCATTTTATAATTCTATATGTTCAGGATAAAGGAAGCCTCAGCATATCTCTAGATGCCACTTGTGATGGACACAATGTGAGAGTGGCTCAGAATCTGGAAAGAGGGAAAAATGAAGAAAACGGGGGCTGTGTAAGGACTGAGACTGAATTTCCTTGGCTCTGGCAGTGGCTTTTCCTGTATGGCCTGATAGTCACCCATCTCTTTCAACCCCAGCTCACCACCTTCTGTAAGCTGGCCCACTTTCCACTGTCACACAGTCTGTGATAGCTTCTGGATGTGGTGACATCACCAAGTCTGGCTCTTTCTGGACAAGGTAATTAAGAACTGCTTCTGGTGGAGCAAATTAGGACCCACTCCTTTCTGGGTTCTTCTGCATATTCTGAAGCTCTGGTGAGAGTGGTTCCTGTTAGATGAGCTCTTCTTCCAGGTGGGACTCCTGTCCCCAGGGCTCCTCTCCTCCCTGTCACACAAGAGCTACTTTGTTCCAGACGTTGAGACTTAGGCCTAGGAAACAAATTCCTCTTAGTTGAAACTTTCATCGAGAGCAAAGTTTCTCAACTTCAGCAATGCTGACATTTTGGGCTACATAATTCTTTGTCACATGGGGGCTGTCCTGTGCATTGTAGGATGTCTAGCAGCATTTCTGGCCTCTATCCACCAGACACTAGTGGCACTCCTCCTCTGTTGTGACAACCCAAATCATCTCCAGCCATTTCCAAAAGTCCTCTGGAGAGCAAAATTAACCTGGTTTGGAACCACTGGTGTAGGGCCTTAAACCTGATTCTCTTCAAATTCATTAGAATTGCTCACCCATTATTGTAGCCACTAGCCACACCCCACTATTGAGCATTTGAAATGTGGCTACCGCACATTGAATAGTTTTGTATATACTAAGATAAAGAATATGTTAAAACTAACTTCATGTGTTTTAATTTTTAATGTGGCTACCAGAACATTTAAAATTACATATGTGTTTCACCTTATCTATTAGACAGCACTGCACTACAATATCAGACTGTGCCTTCAGAAGACAGAAGACAGCCTGGACAGTACAGGAGGGGCCAGGAGGCTGTCTTATCCAGTTCTGGAGACATGCCAGAAACCCCGGAATAGATACACCTATCACAGAGTGACATTTGGCTCATGTTGACTTTACAATCATAGTCCTGAGAATATGGGGGTTGGGGGCAAGTCACTCTACTAGTGCTGTAAAGGCTGCAATGCTGAGTTTTAAGTAGGTAGGATATTAGGAATAGCTGAATTTGGAAGTAAAGCATATCTGTTTACATCCTGGCTGCCTCACCTTTTTGACCTTCAGTCTGTAATTTCACTCTTCTGAGCCCATTTTCTTTTTCTTTTCTTTACCTCTTTCTTTCTAAAATTATATGGTTAATACTATGGAAAGAGCCCAGATGTCCATCAACAGATGAATGGATAAAGAAAATGTGGTGTACACACACACACTGGACTATTACTCAGCCATCAAAAAGAATGAAATCTTGCCATTTGCAATGACATGGATGGAACTAGAGGGTATTATGCTAAGAGAAATAAGGCAGAGAAAGACAATTATCATATGATTTCACTCATATGTAGAATTTAAGAAACAAAACAGGATCATAGGGGAAGGGAGGGAAAAATAAAATAAGAGGAAATCAGGGAGACAAACCATAAGGGACTCTTAACTATAGGAAACAAACTGAGGGTTGCTAGAGTGGAGGTGGGTGAGGGGATGGGGTAACTGGGTGGTGGACATTAAGGGGGGGGCATGTGATGTAATGAACAATGGGTGTTATATACAATTGATGAATCACTAAACTCTACCTCTGAAATTAACAATACACTATATATTAATTGAATTAAAATTATATGGTTATACCTATAAATAGGGTGGCTGTAAAGATTAAGTTAAATACTAAATAAAAAAGAACAAAGTGTCTTCCAAATATGATGGAAGCCAACACTGCATGTTGGCTTATACCTTGTACCTACTAGTGCTTACTCACTAGCATTTGGCTGAATGCTTTATAGAGGATGACTTATCTCTTTCTGAACAATGCCACAAAGCAGTTTTTACTAATATCCTTATTTTCAGATGAGAACCTGACTTATGCCCAAGTGACAAAGGAGGAATTTACCCGATCTTTCTGGCTTTTAAGCTCAAGGCCGGGGCGTGCTCTATGCCAGTTTCACGGTCAATATCCAATAACCTAAACAGGCATTACCTTCCCGCCGCCAGCAAGGCATCTTCCCAGGGCCGGCTGCGGTCAGCTCCCGCACTCCAGTCTACAGGGAACATCTTCCTAAAGCACTCGCCCCATCTGGGTCCCCGGAGCCCGCCGGGCTGGGCCCGCCCCCAACCGCCTTTGCCAGGTGTTCGTTCTCGCCTGGCTCCGGAATAAGCGGCGGGGTTCCCGCCCTGGGTAGAGCGGGGAGTTCCCGAGACGTCTGGGTCCCTTCCTCAGGCCACAAGCCCACCCCGCCCCCGCCAGGCGCACGGAAGCCCAGAAACCCCCGCCCCGCTCCTCTCACCTGAGGGCAAACGGGCCAACCCCGCACGGCCGTAGAGGGCGGAAGCAGGAAAGTAGGGTTGACTGCACATGCGCAGGGAAAAGTCCAGGATATCCGTTCCCAGAAGGCCGCGCGGGGAGCCGTGGCCTTCAGGACTACATTTCCCATGAAAACAGCGCGACTCCTCGCGGATTTCGGGTGTGTTGGAGGCCGGCGTGCGGCGGGGAGGCCGGGGATAAAGAGGGCATAATAAGATTAACTCCCTGTATTGATACCTGGAGCCCAGATCCTACCAAAACCCCAGAGGTTATGGGTTAAACTTTGACATAAGATGAAGTACAGTATGTGGTCATGGATCAGATCCTGGTTGGAGAAAACAAGAAGACATTTGGGAACAACTGGGGAAATTTGTATATGGATTGAATATTAGAAATATTAAGGGAATTTATTATTATTTTTGTTAATTGTGATAATGACATTCGGATTATGAAGTTTACTTTTTTTTAGAGATGTATATTAAAATACTTAACATTATATTACATATTTGTAATTGAAAAAATAACAACTAGAAAAAGCAAATATGGCAACATGTTAAGGATTTCTACCTCTGTATATGGGTATACTCCTTTTCCTATTTTCTACTTCTCTATGCAGTTGGAAGTTTTGTAATATGAAGTTTATAAAGGGAAATTTTTGAACTGTTTTTTCAAAAAGTGTGCCTTTTAACTCAGAGCTGCCAAAAGAAGATAAAATGTATCTGTCAAAACTAAAACATATGTGTCAAATAAAACTAAAACTAACAAGATTGATGTCCTTTACTCAAGGGAAAACAAATCATAGAGCACTCTTCTGAGGGATTTTGGACAAGAGCATATTTTATTACTAGAGATTTCCTTATAAGGCAAAGAGGTAAAGTCAGCTAGCTAAAGCTGAATTGTGATTGGCATATGTTAGGTGTCTTTGACAATGAGAAGGGTACCATTAGATCAGGCTGACTTAGATTTGTGACTTGGGCCCCCATTTTGTGGGTACCAATATACAATTAACTTTACCACATGTAACAGCTTTTGTGAATAAAACTGTAAAATATAACAAATAACAGGAAATGGAGCCTATCATTAACATAAAAGAGTAATATCTGTGATCCTCAGAGTTTATCTTTAGGGAAAAAAGTAAGTTGTTGAATCCTCCATAAGTAATACCTGAAAGTACACACCACTCAATAAAAAAACAATTATCATGCAAATTATGCATCTCCTAAGGACAAACTTACATTTGCACACTTCTGAAATTAGGAACTAAATTAGGAACCTCCACACATTTTGACTCTTTGTGTATATGTGTTTATACATACAAAACGTACATACATTTATATATAAACACACTTTTCTTGGTTGTTATTTTGTAATATAGATTATTTTATATGGCAGTAATAAAAAGAGAGTTTTGATTAGCAACTAAAAAGAAAGATTAACGTTTCCAGTAAGTTACTGCAGCTTATGTGAATCAAGGTATAAAACTTGATTCTGCTGACACTTAAGAAACTTCAATAAATACCAGTTTTCTAGATGAAAGGAATATAATTAAAGTTCCAATCAGAATTCTAAAAAAGTTTCCTATGTGTGTTTTTTCTCTTTGATATTTATATATTTTGTTTGTTAAACATTAAGGAACAATTCCAACTTTTATGCTAATAAAAACTTTTAGTAATGATCAAAAGAAAACTGAAAATGCATAGCAATGTATCTATATTAACACGTATGCTATTGCTAAAATATTTAAAAACTGATCCTGGTGCAAGAAAAGTTCAAGAAGAAAAGAGTGAGAAGGTAGTATGTATTAGAGCTGGGGTTTAAAGCAGTGGAAGGAGAACATTCAATAATTTTGTTAGAACAATGAGGTAGGTGCTGGAACATAGCAAGGCCATATCCATGGAATTCATATTATAATAAATAACTTTCATAGTGATTCAAGTATAAGCAATTAAAAGACAATTTCTAGAGTTTTAAAATATTTTCTAAAGTTCCTACGTTTTTTTCTTTTTAAAGAGTTTATTTATTTATTTATATGACAGAGAGAGACAAAGTGAGAGAAGGAACACAAGCAGGGGAAGCCGGAGAGGGAGAAGCAGACTCCCTGCTGAGCAGGATGCGGGACTCGATCCCAGGACCCAGGGATCATGACCTGAGCTGAAGGCAGACACTTAACAACTGAGCCACCCAGGCACCCTAAAAGTTCCTAAGTTCTTAAATAATACAAATGTTTTAAAAATATAAGGCCTCTCAGCTCCTTTCTAGGAAACCCTACCTCTTCACTCCTATTCCATGCCTGAGACCCTGCTCCACACCTGAGAAAAACTGGCCTGGGTGTGCTGAGATGGACCACAGACCCATCCTCCCCTACCCCACCCTGAATCCAGTGCTGTCAAAGTAGATGCAGCACCATGACAGTTATTAATAAATATTTGCAGACGGATACTTTGAAGCTATAAAACATACTGTTTCTCCTTAAAGTATCATTCACCAGTTTAGCATTCATTTGTGGATCTTGTCTGATTCAGTTATTACTCTGGTGTTCTAATGGTTATTTTTAATTTCCCTCGTTAGTCTGAGAAAGCATAAAGCAGCCTGTGATGTCTGGGAGCTGGCCTGATACTTAGAGAGCCTGGCTGTGAGTAAAACTATCCTGGTGTTCATAGCTAAACACTGAACACAAGGAGATGAGATAATTTTGTGACCATTATGATGTAACACAAACAAGATCACTGTTTTGCAAGAGTAAAGACAAGAACAAGGTTGCTCTGCCACTCTCAAAATACCAAGCATCTCCCTCTCAGCTGTTACAAGTGACTGTTGCTTTTTTTTTTTTAAAGATTTTATTTATTTACTTGAGAGAGAGAATGAGAGAGAGAGAGCACATGAGAGGGGGATGGGTCAGAGGGAGAAACAGACTCCCCACTGAGCAGGGAGCCCGATGCGGAACTCGATCCTAGGACTCCAGGATCATGACCTGAGCCGAAGGCAGTCACTTAACCAACTGAGCCACCTAGGCGCCCCCCCCTTTTTTTAAACAACACCCAATCCTGAACAAATTCGGTGGCTTTGGAACCAATGCAAAATGAACTAACTGAAGCTCAAATCCTCTAACTTCTTTCTAACACTCTCTTACTGAAACTCTTTATCATTCCCATGTAATGTGTGCTCTATCTCATTTCAGTGACTATTAAAATCTAAATTGTTCAGTTTGCATGTGTGTTCTGATGGTATTTGGCTAAATTACATTGACATCTTCTATAGTTATTGATTGGAATTCTGCAAGGAAGATTTGTCCCTTCTCCCCTATGCACTTATTTATTCAACCACTTGTTTTTATCTGTATGGACACATGGAGATTTATTTCACTCTACAATCCATTACTATATTTTTTATTTTGCTGAATATGTGCCATCTTTGGCCATTGGGAGCTCTTTCAAGCTGGCTCTGTGTCTTTTTTTTTTCTTTAAATAGGCTTTCCTTTGTAGAACAGTTTTAGGTTCACCGCAAAATTCTGCAGAAAGTACAGAGTTCCTATATACTTCCTGCCTCCACATACGTACAGCCTTCCTCACTATAAACATCCTGCACCACAGTGTGGTTCATTTATTACACTTGATGAACCTACATTGATAAATCATTATCATCCCAAATCCACAGTTTACATTAGGATTCACTCTTGATATTATACATTCTATAGGTTTTGACAAAGATATCCGCCATTAAAGCATCATACAGAATAGTTTCATTGCCTTAGAAATCCTCTGTGCTCTTCCTGTTCATCCTTGCCTCCCCTCCAACTCTTGCTAACCACTGATTTTTTTCCTGTCTCCATAGTTTTCCTTTCTCAGAATGTCATTATATTTGAAATCATACGGTATGAAGCCTTTTCAGATTGGCTTCCTTGACTTAGTAAGGTGCATTTAAAGTTCCTCCATGTCTTTCCATGGTTTGACAGCTCATTTCTTTTTAGCACTGAATAATCTATTATCGTTTAGATGTAGCACAGTTTATTTATTCATTCACCTACTGAAGGACATCTTGCTTATTTCCAAGTACTAAAAATTATGAATAAAGCAGTTATAAACATCTGTGTGCAAGCTTCTGCATGGACTTAAGTTTTCAACTCATTTGGGTGAACACCAAGGAGCATAATTGCTGGATCAAATGGAATGAGTGTGAATAGTTTGTAAGAAATTGCCAAATTGTCTCCCAAAATGGCTGAACCATTTCACATTCTCACCAGCAATGAATGAGAGTTCCTGTTGCTACTCATCCTCAGCAGCATTTGGTGTTGTCAGTGTTTTGGATTTGGTCATTCTAATAGTTATGTAGTGGGGTTCATTGTTGTTTTAATTTACAACTGCCTAATAACATAGGATGTTGAGCACCTTTTTTTTTTTAAGATTTATTTATTTGAGAGAAAGAGAGAGAGCACGAGCCTATGAGCAGGGGGAAGGGTAGAGGAGCAGAGAGAGAGAATCTCAAGAAGACTCCCCACTGAGCGTTGAGTCCCACATGGGGCACAATCCCAGGACCCTGAGATCATGACCTGAGCCAAAATCAAGAGCTTAACTGACTGAGCCACCCAGGTGTCCCTTGAGTATCTTTTCTTATACTTGTCATCTCTATATTTTCTTTGGTGGTGTCTATTCAGATATTTTGCCCATTGTTTCATCAGGTTGTTGGTTTTCTTATTGTTGAATTTTAACAGTTTTTTGTATATTTTATTTTTTCCATATTTATTTATTTTATTTTTTATTATGTTCAATTAGCCAACATATACTATATCATTAGATTTTGATATAGTGTTCAATGATTCATTAGTTGAATGTAACACTCAGTGCTCATCACCACACATGCCCTCCTTAATACCCATCACCTGGTTACCCCTCCCCCTAACCCCCTCCCTTCTGTAACCCTCAGTTCGGTTCCTGGAGTCCTGAGTTTCTCATGGTTTGTCTCCCTCTCTGCTATTTTCCCATTCAGTTTTCCTTCCTTCCCCTGTGATCCTCCACACTATTCCTTATGTTCCACATATGAGTGAAACCATGTGATAATTGTCTTTCTCTGATTGACTTATTTCACTTAGCATAATACCTTCAATTCCATCCACGTCAATGCAAATGGTGGGTATTCATCCTTTCCGATGGCCGAATAATATTCCATTATATATATATTTTTTTATTTTTATTTTTTTATTATGTTGTTAATCACCATACATTACATCATTAGTTTTTGATGTAGTGTTCCATGA